GTGTCAGTGCTTTTAATTAGCACTGATCACTGTATTAGTGTCACTGGGGATGTCAGTGGCAGTTAGTCAGTTCCCCCCAGTGCAGGGGCGGACTGACCATTTGGAAACTCGGAAACTGCCCGAGGGCCCGGGGTCAGTAGGGGTCCCCATGAGATGCCCCTGGTACCTTTTTCATAGGCTTTTTTGAATTTGGGCAAGGACACAGGGGCCCCATGATCCCCTATTGCCCGGGGGCCCCATGAGATGTCAGTCCGCCCCTGCCCCAGTGTCAGAATGCCGGCCACAGTCTCGCTATAAGTCGCTGATCGCCGCCATTACTAGGATAAAAGAAAAAGTCTGGTATCTATACTGCCATTTGTAGACATTATAACTTTCACGCAAACCAATTAATTTACACGTATTGGTTTTTGTTTTTTTTTTTAGCAAAAACATGGAGCAGAATACATTTTGGTCTAAATGTACGATGAAATTTGATTTTTTAAAAACATTTTTATTGGATATGTTTTATAGCAAAAACTCAAAAATATAGTTGTTTGTTTTTTCAAAATTGTTAGTCTATTTGTTTACAGTGCAAAAAATAAAAAGTGCACAGGTGGTCAAATACCACCGAAAGAAAGCACCATTTGTGGGGGAAAAAAAGGACATAAACTTCATTTGGGTGCAGCATTGCATGACCGCACAATTGTCAGTTAAAGTAACATAGCGCCATAATACAAGAAATGGCCTGGTCGGGGGGGGGGGGGGGGGTTAAATCCTCAGGAGGGCAAGTAGTTAATGGGAAAAAAGGGAGTTTGGGTTGGTGGGATTTTTATGGGGGTTGTCCTACATTGGAATTTTTATGATTTTTTTTTGTAAAATAAAGTCTCTAAAGAGGGAAAACTGCCAATTGTAGTATTTTTTTAAATGTTTTTATTTAGCAAATGAATTGCTATTGCTAAAGGATAATGATCCATTGAAGTCTAGTATTGGCGTGTTTGTTTTTATTTGGTTTGGCTTTATGATATAAAAGCACCGAGGACTCCAGACTGTTGATGGGTTTTGTAGGCCCACAGTTCGGGTCGAGTGCTATTCTGCCAGAAATTAATTTCAAAGTGAATAAGAACTCAAAAGGAGTTGATTTACTAAAGGCAAACCAGTGGTTCACTTTTCAGGGGAATTTCCCTTTAGCTTAATGTGGTGAAAATTCACTTTGCAAAGAATCCCCAATCACATGCAAGGAAAAGAAAGAAAAAAAAACAAAAACAAAAAACAAAGCAGTATTTTGCTTTCACACAATTGAATGATGTAAGTTATATAAATAAATAAATGAGGAGACAGACTTGAAGGACCATGCAGCCTTTTTTTTCCATGACATCGCTCTTCTTGGTTTCTTTTTTAAGATGTCCATGAGATAGGATCTCAAAGTGGCCAATGCATGCCATGCCTTCCTCTCGTCAGCTGCAACAACCACATACGAAAGAAAAATATATCTGAAATGTATTTTAAAAATATTCTTCCCAAATATATTGCCATATATTTGAAATGCTACATATTATTATTATACAGGATTTATTTTATATATATATATATATAAACTTTTATGTGTTAAAATATATATATTTATTACACACACTGCATGTTGAAATGCATTTTTTATTACAAAATATATGAAAAAATATTTTAAAAAATATGGTTTTAAAAATACATTCCAAGTATACGTTAAAAGGACTTTTATGTGTTAAAAAATCTGAAGAATATATTTAAAATATATATATTTTTTAAATATATACAAAAAGTCGTTTTAGCATATTTTTACATATATTTGTAAATAAAAATTTTTTATTAATGAAGCGTGTAAAAAAAATGTAAAATAAAATAAAAATACAAATCTACATTTTTGGAATGCATTTAAAAAATACATGTAAAAATAAATGACTTTTTATATGTAAAATATATATATATATATATATATATATATATATATGTATATATATATTTATATTTACTTACACACACTGCATGTTGAAATGCATTTTTATTACAAAAATATATGTAAAAAATATTTAAAAAATATTTTTAAAAATACATTCCAAGTATACGTTAAACGGACTTTTATGTGTTAAAAAAATCTGCAGAATATATTTAAAAAAATATAAAATTTTTAAATATATATTTTAAAAAAGTCATTTTAGCATATTTTCACATATATTTGTAAATAAAAATATTTTATTTGTAAATAAAAAAATGTAAAATAAAATAAAAAATACAAATCTACATTTTTGGAATGCATTTACAAATACATGTAAAAATATGTTAAAATGACTTTTACATGTAAAAAAAATCCGAAGAATATATTTTAAAAATATTTTTTTTTTAAATATATTCTTCAGATTTTTTTTAACATATGAAAAAGTAAAAATATAGATTATACATTTTAAGACATACAGTATATTTGAAATGTATTTTTAAAAATATTTTTCATATATTTTGTAATAAAACCGCCTTTCAACATGCAGTGTATGTATGTACTGTATGCATATATTGTAATGTACAGCGCTGAGCGAACTATTGGCGCTTTATAAATACTGTATATAATAATAATAATAATATATATTTTTTTTTATTTATTTATTTATTTATTTTTTGAATATGGGCAAAATTGTAGCATTTCAAATATATGGCAATATATTTGGGAAGAATATTTTAAAAATATATTTCAAATATAGTTTTATTCCATGTGGGACAGTTCATACACTTACAGTACTTCTCATGGGTATGTAGCCCCCTCCTAGATGGGCTGCTAGAAAGGTTAGGTAAATGTTGTTCTTTTTGGCTCCTCTTTAGTCAGTGGAGTATGTGATTGCTTTGGGCTGTTCTAGGTTTCACTGACTGCAGGTTGGACTGTTTTCCCCTGCCTCCTGGAGGATTCTAGAATGTAGTGGGTTGGAAAAAGGCAAATCAGCAGCCTTAATATTTTTGTTGTCCTAGCCAATCCATGGGGCTACCCAGCAGGTGGCTGGGGGGTACGTGGCAAGTGCTCGAAACGTGTTAGCCTGTTGGAAGTCCAGGGTTCCCATTGCAGATGGACATGTAGTGTGGTTTGGACAGTTCTGTTCTTTCTGATGTGCCTTTAACATCTATGTAATTTGTGAGTACGATAAATTTTGTATTATTCCAATAAACGTTTTTTACGGTACTGCAGGCCGGTGAGCTCTCTGTTTTCTTTATATCCAGTGCATTAGGACTACCCTGGTCCTTTGAGGGCATCAAGGAGTGCACATTCCAGGACATCCTAGATATAGCCATAGCCCAAGTTGAGTCCATCTCCAAGCACAGGAGTATTTGGGTTGGTTGTTTTTTTCGTTTTACATAAATAACATGGGCCAGAGGCAGCCCTGTTCCTGCCCAGCTGGAGAAGCTCCCATCTTGAAGAGCCGCTGTTCCTCTAGGCAGTGCAGCTGAAGATCTTACAGGGCCTCATCAAGGCCCCAGCTAAGCTAGACTTGGGGAGGCTTGAGCTGACCAGATCAAGGGATTCCACTGTGGACAGTTCACAGGAGAAATATCTGGCTTAGATTGTGAGTAGACCTGAGTGTAGGATCCTAGTGACTGTTTGCTGCTACCAGGGGCGGACTGACAACTCATGGGGCCCCCGGGCAATAGGGGATCATGGGGCCACTGTGTCCTTGCCCAAACTCAAAAAAGCCTATGAAAAAGGTACCAGGGGCATCTCATGGGGCCCCCTACTGATCCTGGGCCCTCGGGGGCAGTGCCCGAATTTCCAAATGGTCAGTCCGCCCCTGGCTGCTACTATCCCTTGTGCATCAGTGCCAGAAGCTTGAGTTGAGACAATTCTTCAGGTGTTTCAGTGCTCCTCATCCCCTTAGTGTCCTCTTATTCCTGTACTGTGTTGCTGGAGTATCCCACAGCTGTCTGCATCCCATCCAAGTATATTTAGCAAATAAATCTTAAAAGAATAACCCCTAGACCAGGGGTATCAAGCTCAATTTGTATCGAGGGCCACATCAGCATTATGGTTGCCCTCAGCGGGCTGGTTGTATCTGTAGGACTTTAGAAATGTATCTACGCCCACATGGCTGCGTCATTCATTCACAGACTTTCATGAATGAATAAACTGCAAGTCCCGGCAGCCTTAGCGGCTGTGGGCTTGTAGTTTTTAATGAACTACCACGGTGCTGTGGAAGCTCATTGAAGCCTTCTGCTAGAATATCTGCTTGCTTGTACATTCTGTACATCCCGTGCAGCAAGCAGATATTCTGACAAGTCTGCAGGAGACCTGCATGGCACCAGTGATCTACTGATTGCTGGTGCAATGATATCCAGGCTCCTTTGGACAAAAATAATAAATGCACATTTCTTTACCTGCAAAAAAATGTGCATTTATTATTTTTGTCCAAAAGGTGAACTTGTGGGCACAAAGCAAGGTCCATAAAGACATGGAGGAGCGAGTTTGGGGTGGAGGAACTTGACTGGCCTGCACAGAGTCCTGACCTCAACCCCATAGAACACCTTTTGGATGAATTAAAGTGGAGACTGCGAGCCAGGCCTCCTCCCCCGACATCAGTGCCTGACCTGACAAATGCTCTTCTGGAAGAATGGTCAAACCTTCCCATAGACACCCTCCTAAACCTTGTGGATGGCCTTCCCAGAAGAGTTGAAGCTGTTATAGCTGCAAAGGGCGGGGCCAACTCAATATTGAACCCTACGGACTAAGACTGGGAGGCCATAGAACACCTTTGGGATGAATTAGAGCAGAGACTGTGAGCCAGGCCTCCTCCCCTGACATCAGTCCCTGACCTGAGTGCTTCTGGAAGAATGGTCAAACCTTCCCATAGACACCCTCCTAATCCTTGTGGATGGCCTTCCCAGAAGAGTTGAAAACATACACATACACTCTGCTTGCAGCAGAAAAATGCTAAACATGGCAAAAACTCATCAAAATCAGGTACCGTGTTTAGGTGCATTTACCTGAGTAAAGCGCTTGGGCATTTATTCATTATTATTATTATTATACAGTATTTATAAAGCGCCGATAGTTCGCTCAGCGCTGTACATTACAAAGGGGGACAGAACATGTGACAGAACAATACCAACACAATGCAAAACATGAGGGGATCGAGGGCCCTGCTCTTTCGAGCTTACAATCTCGGAGGGAGGGGATGGTGGTACAGGAGGAGATAGCTGTGGGGGATGGAGTGGTAGGAAGAGTGGAGGAGGTTGGCAGGTTAGCGGGGGGTGGGGTAGGCTTCCCTGAAGAGATGGGTTTTCAGGGTGCGCCTAAAGGAGAGGAGAGTAGGTGATAGTCTGATGGATTGGGGCAGAGAGTTCCAGAGGATGGGTGACACCCTGGAGAAGTCCTGGAGGCGGGCATGGGAGGAGGAGACCAGGGAACTAGAGAGAAGGAGGTCTTGTGAGGAGCGGAGAGTGCGTGTTGGGTGGTACTTGGATATTAGGTCAGTGATGTAGTTCGGGGCAGTATGGTGGACGGCTTTGTACGTCAGTGTTAGGATTTTGAATTTGATCCGTTGTGCAATCGGAAGCCAGTGGAGGGATTGGCAGAGGGGGGTGGCGGAGATGGAGCGGTTGGAAAGGTGAATGAGTCTGGCAGAAGTATTCAGGATCGACTGAAGCGGGGATAGCCAGCGGCGAGGCAGGCCAGAATACTTGACATTAAAATGAATAAACTCCCCAGGGCTAAATGGGACTAGTTCTTAGGTGCATTTACGAGTTTTTGTTTTTTTGGGCAAAACGTTCCTCTCCTGAACACGATTCTTCTGCATTCAGTAGGAGGACAATTAATTCCCCCAAACTCAGGTAAAGTGTATGTGTACATGGACACACAGGCTTTTATTGAGTGAAGTTCAGGGGCTTTGGCAAAAAAAACAAAAACAAAACCACCAGAAGCTCCTAAACTCACATTTAGGAGCAGCAATGTGCACGATTCCTAACACAGGTGGGAGTTTGAATGACAGCAGGAAGGACCTCTGGCTCCCACCGCCCCCCAATACGCAACGCAGAAACGGGTTAAACGCAAACTGCATAGGTGTGAACCAGGGGCGGACTGACCATTTGGAAACTATGGCACTGCCCAAGGGCCCGGGATCAGTAGGGGGCCCCATGAGATGCCCCTGGTACCTTTTTCATAGGCTTTTTTGAGTTTGGGCAAGGACACAAGGGCCCCATGATCCCCTATTGCCCGGGAGCCCCATGAGTTGTCAGTCCGCCCCTGGTGTGAACCTAGCCTTAGACTAGGTTCACACCCGTGCTTTCCATTCATTTTTTGGTGTTTTTGCAGCGCATGCTTGATGTGTGTTCATGATTTTTTCGTAGGAGGAGACTGGTTGTGAAACACAAAACTCTACCAAAAACGCACCAAAATACATGTACATGCATTTTTCATGCGCTTCCATTAAAGTCCATCGACCAAAAAACGCACCTTCCTGCATATAAAAAAAAAGTCACCTTTACCTCCAAAGACACACTGTAGGAAATTGGATAGACGTGAACGGGACCCAGAGGAAACCATGTTAAAAGGAATGGCGCACATTCCCGCGCTTCTGAAAATGCACAGGTGTTAACCTAGCCTTAGGTCTCCTTTACACCTCAATCTGTCTGGTAACTGTGCGTTTGTGCATGTGCGTTTACGGGAGTTTTCCATGCATTTGCATGTATTTACAGTGTGCTTTTGGTGCATTTTTTATATCATTTTTTCACCTATTTTAATGTTTTTTTACTAAGATAGTTTTAGTTAGTATTTAGTTTACACGCATTTGCGTGCGTTCATGAACGCTTGCATTTTTACGTGCATTCTGGTGCGGAAAACACAATATGCTGTACTGTACTAAATGCCCATAAAAGCACTGCAGTGGTGTGAACTAGGCTCATTGGAATACATTCATTTTTCTTACATATGCGTTTTTACTGCGTTTACTATTCTGGGTTTAAAAACGTTCCTGACTGCATCCAGTGTAAAATGAGCCCTTAAAGTGGTGTTCAACCCAGGGGTGGACTGACAACTCAGGGGGCCCCCAGGCAATAGGGGATCATGGGGCCCCTGTGTCCTTGCCCAAACTCAAAAAAGCCTTTGAAAAAGGTACCAGGGGCATCTCATGAGGCCCCCTACTGACCCCGGGCCCTCGGGCAGTGCTCGAGTTTCCAAATGGTCAGTCCGCCCCTGGTTCAACCCAAAACCAAAAATGATTATTATATATAATATTGCAGCTTACCAATCATTAGATGTGGTGACTGCATTAGTTTTCTTAGGCTTTCTCCACTTCTGTTTTCACCTGGTGATCTGGCCAGGGGCGGACTGACAACTCATGGGGCCCCCGGGCAATAGGGGATCATGGGGCCCGTGTCCTCGCCCACACTCAAACCACACCCAAAAAAGCCTATGAAAGGTACCAGGGGCATCTCATGGAGCCCCCTACTGACCCCGGGCCCTCGGGCAGTGCCCAAGTTTCCGAATGGGCAGTCCGCCCCTGGATCTGGCCAGTAACACACTTCCTGGATTAGAGCACCCCCACTCTGGATGAAGGAGCAACGGAGACCCCTTTGGACAGCAGCATTGTCCGTCTGGGAGGGGGGGGGGGGGAGAGTGTTTTTTTAAATACACTAACAAATTGAAGCTGAACTCAAGCTCACACTTTATAAGTAGTTACAGCAAACAGTTTTGTTCCTTTTGGTTCTACATAAATGAAGGAAAGCTGGCAATTGTAAGCACCCCTGTCAGTGGAAAATGGTTTGACTCAACCCTCTAACTGTTACATGTGAAGGACAGTTTGCTCTATTGAAAAAAAAAAAAACAGAATTACTGGCAGGAACACCAAGTAAAAAAAAGAAAGACTAAAAAAGAAATTAATGCAGCCACCACATCTAGAAGAGGTAAGCTGCTCTTCTTTTTTCATTTGGTGATCCAGCCAGTATGTCTGTTTTTCAACAGAAGAGCTCTCGCAGTTACAGAGATGGGGCAAACCATTTACCACTGGCAGAGGTGCATAAACCAGACCTTCAGCCTCCCGAGGACAATGCCGCCTCTCAACCGCTCCCTCCTGTCCTCTGCAAGAATTGGGCTTTTTTTAACCTTTTTTTAAATAAGAAGTCTGCCCCGCCTCCCAATGCACGTTGTGATGCGCACAATGCCTGCTGGGATATGGACGTCACATATACCAGGAGGCATAGGTTTGTAATTGAGGAAAGAAGGAAGGGTGGGTCTGTCCGAGCATCACTGGGAGGTGAGCCGGCTGACATCATGGTGAAGGGGGGCCCCCATATTTACGACGTCATGCTGGGGGGCGACCCACACAGACGATGACATGGTGGGAGGGAACCCACACAGATGACGACATGGTGGGGGGGACGGGACCCATACACATCAACAATCACATAGTGGGTGGGGAACCCGCACACATCGACGACGTCATGGTGGGGGGGGACTTGCATACATCGACGACGTCATGGGGGAAAACACACATCGACGATGTCATAGGGGGAAAACACACACACATTGACGACGTCAAGGGGGGAAAACACACACCGACGACGTCAAGGGGGGAAAACACACACACATTGACGACGTCAAGGGGGGAAAAACACACACACATTGACGACGTCATGGGGGGAAAACACACACACATCGACGACGTCATGGGGGGAAAAACACACACACATCAACGACGTCATGGGGGAAAAAACACACACACAACGACGTCATGGGGGGAAACACACACCATATTGACAACGTCATGGGAAGAAAACACACACATCAACAACGTCATTGGGGAAAAACACACACACATCGACGACGTCATGGGGAAAAACACACACATCGACGATGTCATGGGGGGAAAACACACACATCGACGACGTCATGGAGGGAAAACACACAAATCGACGACGTCATGGGGGGGAAAACACACACATCGACGACGTCATGGGGGGAAAACACACACATCGACGACGTCATGAGGGAAAAACACACACACATCGACGACGTCATGGGGGGAAAAAACACACACATCAACGACGTCATGGGGGGAAAACACACACATATTGACAACATCATGGGAAGAAAACACACACATCAACAACGTCATGGGGGGAAAACACACACACATCGACGACGTCATGGGTGAGAAAAACACACACATCGACGATGTCATGGGGGAAAAACAACACACATCGACAACGTCATGGAGGGAAAACACACACATCGACGACGTCATGGGGGGAAAAACACATCGACGACGTCATGGGGGGAAAACACACACATCGACGACGTCATGGGGGGAAAACACACACATCGACGACGTCATGGGGGAAAACACACACATCGACGACGTCATGGGGGGAAAACACACACATCGACGACATCATGGGGGGAACACACACATCCGACGACATCATGGGGGGAAAAACACACATCGACGACGTCATGGGGGAAAACACACATCGACGACGTCATGGGGGAAAACACACATCGACGATGTCATGGGGGAAAAACACACATCGACGACGTCATAGGGGAATACACACATCAACGACATCATGGGGGGAAAAACACACATTGACGGCATCATGGGGGGAAAAACACAGATTGATAACGTCATGGGGGGAAAAACACACATCGATGATGTCATCGGGGGAAAACCACACATCGGCGACGTCATGGGGGGAAAAACACACATCGACGACGTCATGGGGGGAAACACTTATCGATGACGTCATGGTGCCCCCTGTGCTCCTTCATCCAGAGTGGAGGCGCTCTAATATAGGAGGTGTGTTACTGGCCAGACCACCAGGTAAAAACCGAGGGGAAAAGCATAAAAAAAAAACTAATACACCATATCTAATGATTAGATGTGTAGTACGTTTTGTTGTGAAATAAAAATTCAGATGAATTTTCTGTTATTCGCATGTTTCAGAATTACCGTAGTAACACATTTAAATGAATTTGAAATAATGAAAAAAATTCGGTTGAAATTCTAATTTGAAAAAACACATTCAAAAACCAATTTGAAAACAAGAATAGAATAAGATAGAAGCAAAAATAAAGAAATAGAAGAGAATAGAAAATAAAAGAATAGAACAGAATACAGTAGAAAATAAGAGTAAAATAGAACAAAATAGAATAGAAAATAAAGGAATAGAAAACAATATAATTCATTAGAATAGAAAAGATTAGAATAGAAAATCAAAGAATAGAATAGAAAAAAATTGAGTAAAACAGTGAAATAGAATAGACAAAGGAATAGAATAAATTAGAATAGAAAAGATTAGACTAGAGAATCAAAGAATAGAATAGAAAATATTAGAATAAAGAATCAAAGAATAGAATACAAAATCAAAGAATAGAATAGAAAAGAACAGAATTTACTAGAATAGAAAAAAAAAGATTAGAATAGAAACGAAAAGAATAGAATCTATTAGAATAGAACAGATTAGAATAAAAAACTCAAAGAATAGAATAGAAAATATTAGAATAGAAAATCGAAAACGAAGAATACAATAGAAAAGAATAGGATAGAAAATCAAAGACTAGAATAGAAAATAATAGAAAATCAAAGAACAGAAAAGAATAGAATAAAAAAGAATAGATCCATTAGAATAGAAAATCAAAGAATAGAAAAAAAAGAATAGAATCAATTAGAATAGAAAAGATTAGACTAGAAAATCAAAGAATAGAATAGAAAAGATTAGAATAGAAAAGAATAGAATCCATTAGAATAGAAAAGAAAATATTAGAACAGAAAATCAAAGAATAGAATAGAAAAGATTAGAACAGAAAATCAAAGCATAGAAAATATTAGAATAGAAAATATTAGAATAGAATAGAAAAGAATAGGATAGAAAATAAAAGACTAGAATAGGAAATAATAATAGAAAATCAAAGAACAGAAAAGATTAGAATAGAAAAGAATAGAATCCTTTAGAATAGAAAATCAAAGAATAGAAAAAAAGAATAGAATAAATTAGAATAGAAAAGAAAAGATTAGACTAGAAAATCAAAGAATAGAATAGAAAAGAATAGAATAGAATAGAAAATAATAGAGTAAAACAGAGCAAAATATAACAGAAAATAAAAGGAACAGAATAGAATCAATTAGAATAGAAAAGAATAGAAAATATTAGAATAGAGAATCAAAGAATAGAATAGTATAGAAAAACAATAGACTAGAACAGGGGT